GGTTCGCGGCTGTAATTAATTAGGGCTCTTAAGGCTCAGGGGCTACAGTCTGACTACAGTAATCCCAGTCATACCCGTAGGCGCCGGAAACCCCCCTAATATTAAAACGGAACCCCCGAAATCCAATTTTAATATTAGGGGGGGGCCTTTTAATAATAGGGGGAAGGGATTACTACCACCACCACCACCACCACCAGCAGTACTTTGGGAGGTGCCTCCTACAAACTTGTGTTTCGGGGCCCCTTGCAGTCAGCGCGCAAAACTAGTGTGTTCACTTGTTCCAGCCCTATGGGCAAAGTAACGGGTTGCGAATTCATGTAATCCCAGACCAGATGCCATTCTGCCGACAACACTTCCTTTCGACAGCCTTTCTGTCGATGCTGTCAGCACCCTCTGTCCGTCAACACAAATGGTCCTACAAGTGGCCTCCCGGCACTGATGAAAATGTTCATGTTGGCGTTCGCCGGTAGGCTGAGTGCGCCGACTGTCCACAAACAGCCCTACCAAGCCTGTTGAGACAGATGGGCGTAAGAACAATGGGCACAAGAGACTAGTCGGCGCATGGTGCAAAACCGTAAACAGTCCACCGCTAAGTCGACGAGAGACGCTGCCAAACGCCTCTGAGTCGATGCTGACAAGTGTGGACTCGCCCAGAGATTCTGCAGTGCCTGCTCCGAAACTTTTGAATAGACTTAACAACACAGCCATGACTTTCGCTTCGACCTGATGCTGTTCCTGATGTCACATGCAACATGAACACGACTTCCAGGATTTGTCAAGTCCCGGCCTAGGTGCTCCCAGCTTGTCAGCCAGAGGGCTTGTTCCGTTATCCAATCGCAATCTATCTGTACGTATTCCTGGCGCGGCAGATCGCAAATGCGAGTCCTTCACTCGTGTTGTCTGTGCTGACAGAAGCCCATTCCTCGTGCGAGACTTTTTTGTAAAGCAGCCTTGACTTCTGCCGTAAGCTGCAACCAAATTGCGCAAGGGATCCCTAACTGAGCCACTGACATTCCTGAGGTTAGAAAGGTCATCTCTTTGGCCTTAGATGTCGGATCAGAAGTTCCGATTGAGACGATCACCCGCCCGGGCTGCTCTTCGCACCTGTTCTGCAGCAACGAAGAGGAAGTCGTTGTGTGCGAGCTGCTTCGGCGCCAATGCCTCGCCAGCACAACAACTGGGGGACCTGCCCGACCCTCCCTTTCCTTGTGGGCACCTTGATGCACATCCGCTGCAGGAATAAAGTCGCATTCAGCTCCATGGTCTCGAACAACGGATGAACAACCTGAGGCTCAGGATGCCCATGTCGTGCTCTTGCTTCCACAACGCTACGGGCCGCGGCCAAATGGGGCTTGTTCATTGCAAAGGTCAACTCACCCAAGAGCTGCTCGGAGATCAGGTTGAGCAAAGTCACCTGGCAAACGCATCAGGATGCCTCACTTGCAGAAGGCTTAGCAAAGTCAGGTGAGGCAGGTCACGGTAGATGTCACGGTGGCATGACTGTGCAGCTTGCTCGAAGGGTTTGTGATCCGGGGTGGACACGGATGCTGACTCGGAACGAGCTGTTGGGAGCAGTACACAATTCTCCAGGTCAGAGGTCATGGATCCCCTCTGCTCGCCGACCCGATATTGGGAAGCTGTTCTGCCCCGACAGGAGCACACCATGCACCTGGGCAGCATCCTGTCAAGAAACCAGTGGAAACGCTTGTCCCAATTGACAGCCAATATACGCAGCACGTCTTAAGCGGCAACGGTCTTGGGATGGTCCGCCCAACACTGCACATGAGCATTTCACCACTTTCGTGCCCTCGCGGATGATGATGGACCCGTCCATCTTGAGAACCGAACATGTGCAGGCTAACGCATCAAAATAAGGTACGGTACACAGCAGCATCACTAGACGCAAATTGCCACCATCGAGCGCGAGCACAGCATGCCTATTCGGATGTCCAGGCCACCTATGGCGCCTAGCTCGGAACGGCCGAACCCTGCAAGTCTACTGCGCAGAGGACATCATCGCGTACACAAGCTGCTCCGACCTTGCTCATCGGCATTGCCTGCGTGCAAATCTACACAGTTGATGCGGTAACCGTGGCTGGACACACAGCACCACGCAACGGCCATCAAATGCACTCTCCCAGCCTCCCGCTGCTTGCTGTATGCATGTTCAGCGAACTTCGTCACACGCAAGGCCAGCAATCGGGGCACCTGGCCATTATGCACCATGAAGGACGACCAAATCAAATGCTTGGGCAGTCGGTTGTTTCATTCTACATTCGGCTATAGCGTTCGTTCATGCCGTGCACACGTTGACGCTTGCATGTGACAATAGCTGGGGGTACAGTATCTATCCATTTCAGCTGCAGGCCGCAGGCTGTTTGAAGTGGCCGAGTCCAGACCGAAACCGGTGATGTAAGACGGCGTGCAAGCAGGATACTTCAGACAAGCTTGCAGGAGTGTCATTTGCTACCGTAGTTGTAACATGAACGAAGCAACTGTACGAATATAACATCATGATGGCAGTCTACGTGAAACATGGCGGAACATGCCAGAACCCAAGGTGATGCAGTGGCGAAGTCTGAGAGCGGTCGTACTGTCAAGAATTGTCGTACTGGTACGCAAAACATCACAGCCCTATCGCAGCTGAAAAACCAGGCACTGGCACGGCCACGGGGCTTCCCTCGCGTACTGGCGGGATTCAGGAGCAAGGACGGCCAAGATGCTTCCCCCAAATTCTGCAGCCAAGAGGACGGCCAACATGCTTCCCCGCCCCAGTACTGGCCGGATTCAGGAGCACAGCGCTTCTGCCTTCCACCAAAAAGTACTGGCGTCGGGTATTGGAGGATGGACAAAATGTTTCTCAAGTCCAGTCGCTATTCCGAGTTCTCGAGCCAAACTCGGTTTTCGAAGCCAAAATTCGAAGGCGGCCCGTGCAACTGAATTTACAGAACGTTAGAGCCCCACTGTTTGGAGAAGACCTAACGCTGTAGGCTGTAGGTCTACAGGGGCCAGCAACCTGTCAACTTGAATCGAAAAGCCGATCAAGTGGACGATCTGACATGTCTATGGAATGCACCAATCGGATTGGAGCATGCAGAAGAACAAGTAAAAACAGGTCGTAGGAGAAGTGGCACCAATCCAGGACATAGTTTCGTAATGTTTCTTCAGGCATTGCTACACAATAATGCTGCCTAGATTCTGCTAAAACTGCGGCAGGGTTCCGGAGGAGGGGCGCCAAATCAACCAAGGCTGCGAAGCTCAACAACAGCTGCGACTCGTGGAGCTTCGGGTGGACCACCAGGACAACCAGGAGACCACGAGGAGACCAAGACACATCAGGAGACCCCAGGAGACCACCAGCAGCAGAGCACAAACGCGTTCCACCAGATACTTTTTTGGATTCAGGAGCACGGCCCGAATGTTTCCCCCAAGTACTGGCGGGAGCAAGGCGGCTAGAATGCTTCCCTCCAAGCACAAGCGGCCATCTTATCTGTAGCCACATTCCAAAGTACTTGAGAATACTGGAGCTGAGGGGTTTCTTCTATCCTAGTTGTGGTACACGGTACATGTGCATGCCCGACGAGGCCTTGTGCATCCTCATGAAAGTACGCAGCTTGCGGAACTCTTTCGAAGACGTCTCGGACATGTTCCGGAGCCTTCACATGACACTGGGGCAACTTGAGTCAGTTTGCGATGGTGCCGCTGTGCAGTACACTTCATTGAGAAAACGGTCTGTTGCACCGACTTGAGGGCCCCGCTGCGTCAAGCAACTGCTGATGTCTCCAACCACGTAGGAAAAGCCAACCAAGGCGAAAATCACCACGCTTATGGCGAAACAGCCTGAATGCAAAACTTTCCCAGCTTGCAACAAGCGTGACTTCCCTGACCTCCTTTTGAGTGGAAATCTGAGACCAGAACGCTCGATGGTGTTTTGTGGTTGTACATCCATGGATGCGGGCGTGAACTGCGTGAGCGACCAATGTAATGCAACCTGAGCTGCCCAGCAGAGGAATTCACCGCGGCCTGTCTGTGGGCTTGCATGCACCCTAGCATTGCAGCCGATGTTTAAAGTAAAACCTAGAACAGCTTCTAGAACCTTTCTGCTTTCTCAGTGTTTGCTCTGCTCGGGGTCTCTGCTTTGTCTCTTCTTCTTCCCCAGGGCATAGGAGGCGGGTCAGACCCCCCGGCCTATTGGCCCCCCATATGTTATGGGGCTTTCGGGGGTGTGAAAGTATGTTCGAGTTTCGGACAGGTTTGGATATGCTTTGTCTCTCTCTCTCTCTCTTCTTCTCCAGGGCATGAGGGGTCTGTTAAACCCCCCGGCCAGTTGGCCCCCCAATTGCTATTGGGGCTTTCGGAGGGTGTGAAAGATGTTTCTCTCTCTCTCTCTCTCTCTACCAGGTAAGAGGAGCAGAGCGGTCCAGCTCTAACCCCCCGCGCGCGAGCCCGCCCCTGCGGTTCGAGGGGTCTCATGGTCCCCCTACGGGAAATTGCCATAGGGGGCTCGGCTTTACACGGAAAGTAGAAATCCCCCGGAGCTGGTAAAGGCAAGGGACGATGCCATCAAGTACGACTGTCAACAAGCAAGTAAGGCTCCGGCCAACATAATAAAGGCTGCTGTGTCCCCTCCCTCACTCCGGGCGGATATGAAAGGGTAGAAGGAAACGTGCTGGGTTTCCCCCACTGAACTACACAGCTTGGATTGAAAGTGGTGCCTTCATCCGCCGAATTCGGATGCTCACTACTGCATGTGTGCTTGAAAAGAAACTAGGATTGCGAGACCAATGTGGGTCTCATAGATCGAGCTTACCTGAGGAAGGTCTCTCTCACTCTCTCTCTCGCCCTTTCTTTCTGCGGGGCCTGAGGGGAGGATTGCTCCCCCGCTCTGCGAGCAAGCGCCCCAATTTGAAGTGGACAAAACGGAAAACAAAGATCGTCTAGGAGCACAGCCCCGTGCCAGCGACCAAACTCAAGCTCACCTGGTTCTGCCCCCGCTGCTACACTAGCTCATGTTCCAGACTCTGAGGCTGCCGCAGGTCCTACCAACACCGAAGCATGCAACGTTCAACAAATTGCACACAGCTTCGGACCACCACCTGAGCCCCCGGTTCTTGGCTCCAGGCAGGCCCGGCACACATGTGGGGGCGCGGCGTCGCTCCCAGATCGTGCCAGTCGCGTGCTGCCCTTCTCCGTCGCACCGCTGTCTCTTTGGGTGGGGCTCTGGCTGCTCATCCTGTTCTTCTGCAGCTCTTTCAAGTTCAGCACTCTTCAGTGGTTGGCTTTCTCCCCGCTATTTCCGACGCTAGCAAACTCGCGGCCGCCGATGCAACTTACAGCTGGCTGTTGGGATCAGTTGGGATCCAAGCTCACGGCCGGGCTCGGCAGGTCAGGTGGCGGTTGCAGGAGGCTTCGGGGGGTTCGGCTGGTCGAAGCCGAGCCGGAAGGAGGCGTGCACCGTCGCCTGCACTTTCCACAGCTTGGCCAGGGCCTCGGTCTGTCCCCGACGCGGGGACGTTGCAGGAGCATCCGAAGAAAAACCCATGGGGCTTTGAAGGGATCGCGAAGACTGTTTATGGGTGCAGTATGTTTCCCGTATAGGACACCTGCACGAATTTATTGCATGTCCCAATTAGGTCCCCTTGGAAAAAGTCACTGTGGTGCACACTGGCTGGCTATCTGTCTTTCTTTGTTTTATCTCGTTAACTCTTTCTTTCTGCGGACATGAAGAGACAGCTGCCCCTCTCCCCTGTGTTGGTGCGCACCCCTTCTTGGCTTCTTGGCGTGGAGTGAAATTTTCCTTGGTGGTAAACGCTGTTTACCTGTAACGCCAGAGTAGCCTATAAAAAGGCGCTGCTAGCGTAAGTAGCTCATTTTTTACGTTTAGATACAGCAGAACAGGCTTCTTTGCGGGATTATGCTTAAAAGGGGCTCCTTTGGAAAGTAGCTTGTTTTGAAGTCGTGCACCGCTTGAGTCGCTTTTGCTGAGGCCGTTTCGGTCGAGATGTTGGCTGCAGCGCACAGTGCTGCCTGGTTCATACGATGCGATTCACTTATTATACAATATACATACGATATTCAGTCCGGATGTGGTATAGACCAGGATGCAGTTTGCGCACTTTGTGCAGTTTCAAAACCGCAATCACCGCAGCTGCACAGCCATGGCTTCGCGGGTCCTGCATGGGCACACGAAGGACACATCAACACAATTGAGTTCAGACCAACAGCCCTGCAAGAGCTCTTGCTGACGACGAATCCGACGATGGTTTTTTGGGAAGCGTTTGGCAAGCCCTACATAATGCCGACTGTTTCCTTCGCCTGCTGTACAATAGCGGGCTCTGGCTCTCGAAAGACGACGCCCTCCAAGCCAGCGACTATGGTTTGCAGTTCTCTCGCCACTACACTAAAGCGGCCACCGTTTCGTACAGTCGTTCTCTTCCGCGGTTCAAGTTTCAACCGAAGTTTCACATGCACAGTCACGTAACGGAAATGTTGGCAGAGCATGCCAATTCGGGTATGCTTTGAACCCGCTGGTGAATAGTTGCCAACAAGATGAAGATTTTGTTGGACGAATAGCTAGCATAGCTAGAGTACAGCATTCTCGCACGCTGAACCGCGGGTTTTGTCGAAGTACAAGCTGGCTCTATCATCGAAGTGCTAGCAACTGCAGCCAGCCGTGTGCCTTCGAAGAATGCGAAGGATGGATCTCATGAGCGATGCCAGGCCAGGGCCGTGGGAATTTTATATGATCGAGCTTTATACACAATATACACTTCAATGCATTTCCAATTTCATCGCTTGTGTCGAATCACTGGTTCTGATGCCGGCTTCACCGATGGTGGTGCACATCAGCGCATTGTGAAAGATCAGCTTTTAGGATCGTTCATACCACAGGGTTGTAACAGAGTTCTGTCTATGATGCTTTTGGATCGCAATGTCGTAGCGATATATCTTAAATGTACTCAAGATGCTTCTATCATCGCGATCTTGCCATGAGATACTTCATCTAGAAACAGGCTAAGTGACACCTTTTCCCCTGGTAGTGTGTGTTTATAGGGACGAAAGGCGCAACTTTACGAAGGCGTGTGTTTACACACGCTCCCAGGCTTTACAGGTAGGCTTATACTGTCCCAACTGAGGAGAGTTAAGTAGAAGAGGCAAAGCAGTTTAGAAAGTACATCATACTAAAGGGCGCCCATCAATCACTCTCGCCCTTTTACGCCGTTCTCAGGCTACGCATCTACTTCGCGTCAGGAAGGCTCTCAGGTGGTGTCTCACTTGGTCACTTGACTGTTGGAAGGTGTCGCCCCACCATTGTTCCGCTCTGGCCGCTTCCGAGTCTTCTGGCTCTTCGTGCTGCCAGCAGTTGCTCCCGCCAGCATCCCGCGGCCCCGCAATCGCCGCAGGGTGGCAGGAAGAAACACCGTCTGCGGTGGTTGGATTGCAGGATCTCCCGGATTGGTTCTCTTGGAGGGTGGCGCCCCTTCACTATAGGTAGGGGTCCGTTCGAGCTCGTGTCTCCCGCGGAAAGTTCAGCCCCCGGTTGGCACTTACTGCGCGTTACTCACGACCGCTTAATACCGCTTAGGAGTTCCCCGTTGCCCGAGTTTCCAAGGCCCCGAGTCGACTGCACGGTGCTTGCTTTTCAAGCCAAACTTTGTAGAAAACAACCGTCGTTTTGCAATTAAGCCCGCGCCTGTTTCAACCCCCAGCGATGGCTGTGGGTTCAGGTGTCTGACTGAGTTTGGGAGCGCGCCCGTGCTCGACACTGCTCCCAGGCTAATTGGGGAGTGCACCCCGGCGGCTTTGCACCGCGACAAAACTACAGCATCGAATTACCTGAGACAAAGGTCCACCTCTTTTTCCACACTGCCAATTGAGCTGAAGCGAGGCTGAGCTGAAGCAACTTGGAGCGGCTTTTGGACAGAAAAGGGTTCCCGGTTTCACTACACTTTCCATTTATCCTTCAGCGGGTGCGTAGGTGCGTAGGGCAGTTTGCTCCCCATGAAAACCTGCGATCTTGAAAAGGGGGCCCGGAAAACAGGTCCCCCAGTTTCCGAGACCTGAATCAAAAATAGGCTGTCTTGCTTTGTTGTTTCGATGAGGGTTGCGGGCCCCTCCTACGCGAGAGCCTCGTCCGCGCTCTGTCCCTCGTCGGTGCAACGTTGTTTCTTGGACGTCCATTATGCAACATTCCCCCGCTTCCCTCCCGCTCTCTCTCCCTCCCTCCCTCCCTCCCTCCCTCCCTCTCCAATCTTAGCGTGCACTGCGGCAAGAGCCTAACTGATTCAGCGCAAAGAGAGCGCTGCTTCTGTCCCAGTGCCAGCCGCTCACCAGCCATGTCGAAATGATTGCGTATAATGCCAGGCAAGAAGCAGCATACTGGTCTGTCCAAGGGCGGGCAAGCAAGCCATACTCGGTAGTCCACGTGTTCTGGCCCGCTGCCAACGAAGCAGTTGCATAGAAGATGCATGCCTCGTTTTGCCCACTGCGCCGACAGCAACCGGCCCAACCTACAAACGACTCGAGTGAAAAAGCTTCTTATGTCTTGCCGTCGTCCCCGAGCCTACGAGTTCTAATATAACTTCCAAGTGCAACATGAACCACAAACACAAGCCGAATCTCAAAGGAAAACAGCTACAGGAGCATGCGCAAGATAGGCACACCAAGCAGCAAATGCGACTATACGTGTCAAAGCATGCATGCATGCACGTGCGAATGTATCTACTTGCAGGCGCGTATAGGTATTTGTGAATAGGTTTTGAACACACGCATATGCACAAGTGTAATTAACAAGGTATATGTCTATGTGCAGGTTTACATGTGCGTGTATGTCCACCCCCGCCCACAACCACTTAGGCCACCATCTCCATTTCCACCGCATGCGCAGGATCTCCCGGATCCGATCGCAGCCACAGCGGCTCAAGATCCGAGAAACCGAGCAGGTCCTTCGAAGCCGGTGGTGCAAACATTCTGTTTTGCCTCATACCACTGTCATGCTCGCAGTTCACAGAACTCAAAACCGTGTGGGGCAGATTGGCATCCCGCCGGCACAACGTGGGACAGGGCATTGATTTCTCCTTGACCCTTCAGGTCTGGATGATATCTTAGCTCCTCACGTGTCGTGATAATGATGTTATTCTTGGTCGGCTGCCGAGCTTGGCACGTACAGTACCGGGTGCTGAAGACGTGTCCTGTGTGCCACTGCAGCAGATTTCTGGAAATCGGGACTAACTAGTTACGACCGCGGTGGCAGTGGAACTTTTTAAAGTTTCATACAAACACCAAGTGTCTCCAAAACGTGATACATGTCGACCCCTGCAACCACTTTGTTCATTAGCCTTGAAAACCTGTGTACTCGTCTACATCATATTTTACCGTAACCTACACTTGTCTGCCCTTTCTCCACTCTGTCTCCACTCTGTCTCCTGACTACAAATCCCCAAGGTCTTTGTAAGCAAACGGCAAACCTTGCTATCTGGGGCGTTGCATTCCCGCAATTTCTATCGGAACCTCGCCATGAACTCACATCTTTATCACAAGTGTTACCCTGCTTTTCTTCTTTCGGCACCATGGCAGCAAGCTATTAGTACCACTCAGCAGTTTGGGATCTGCCTTGCGACTGTTGCTGCTGATATCACTTACTTATTCAAGGTGGTGCTATCATCTGTTGCGGGAGTGCCACAAGGATGCCTTGAGAAGTCTTGATAAGGGTGCTTTAGGTCACAGAGGGAATGTGCCCAATCTACTTGACAGCCGTATCAGCTGCAAACTATAAACATCGGAATCGTCGACATCTTTGAACATTGACAAACCTTCCATGTGGACCTGAGGAACCTCCGGAAGGTTTCCACGCAATGTCGCAAATTGAAGGTGCCAGAGAAGCCGAAGGGCCACACCGAAGCAAATGCGACGTGTTCAAAAATGATTTTTGGTGTGGTATGTGTCAGTTTTTCCGTCATACATAGCTTGGACGAGCCCGCATTGCAGGGTATGCGTGAGTTGGGAAACATGGTTTAGGACTCAAGGCTCTAGGTAGGATTTCGGCTCCTTTATGCAAGGTGTTTGCTGCTCTACCCACACAAACGTTTTGTTTCGTCTGAAATAGGAATAAAAAGGAGCTAACATGTATTTCGAAATATCAAAAATGCTGTTTGGTATGCGTTCCGGAGAGTTGGGCCGGGCCAAAATTTTTGGTACGCTAGCGGATTGAAATTAGATTGAGGGGTTGAAAATCAATCCAGGGGCGGATCTTCCTGGATTCTTGGGGCAGAATCTTCGATCCGGACTGAAACCGCATTCAAGGCTTGAATTTCAATCCGGGCCCAGAGCCAAGATTCAAAATTCGGCCCCAAGACTCTGAGAGACTCTTGGACCTTGGATCCGGTCAATCCGACTTCAATACTGTCAGGTTACTGTTGAGTCTTGAGACACCCTGTGCATGTGATGTGTCTTTCGGACCTCCTTACTGGAATTCCGCTGAGTGGCTAAGCACAGTGCTCATGCTACACCATCGAGACGCACGCGCTCTCGGAGAGATTTCTGGGTGCTGCTGTCCTGGTCTTCCACCGTTCGGCCTCTTTGCTGGTGTTGTCCATTGACTGGCTAGGTATAACGACGTGTACATACAGGAAGTATACGCAGGTAGAAAGCAGTGTGCAGATGCAAACGTACAGTACATGCCATAATGACAATCAGACATGAACCGCACATGCATCCCTAAACATCCGTGCATGCGCTTAGGCTCAGTGATACCAACTCACTACTCGTAGGTGAGGAAGATGTGATACCACTGCTCCGCTGCGGCTGTGCAGGGATAGCAAAGATCGATTTCCTTCCCGTTCCTCACGCCAAGATGCAATGACATGGTTCAGATACAGGAGCACAGCAACCATCTGCGCCACTCTGCCAACAATCGTTGCATATTCTGACATGGGGATAGCGTCACCTGCACCCCGATATGTCATGATGCCTGCAGTTCCGGAAAAGGCCGAAAGGTGCGCCTGCCTATAGCTTCCAGAAGCAGCTTCAGCTTCAATAATCCTCAGAAAAGTAGTCGTGAGGCTCTGTCGAAAGGTTCGGACTCGTTTACAAGGTGCACTTGCAACAGCTGTGGCGGCCATCGGCTTCTTGTCCAGTGGGATCAAAAAACCTGTGAACTGCCAAAGGCCTGAATAACAAGCTACGAATACTTCAGCAATCTTCATGATGCTAGCGGGCGGCGAAGCAAACGTGCAATTCGCACGAAACGCAGGACTCGGAGAAGTCTCACCGATTGGCTACCAGCGCTGTCACCCCAAGTCCTTAGGCAGCGATTTCTTTGCCATTTACTTGGCAAAGGAACGACCTCGGACATGCTTCATTTCTTGTGTGTTTCTGGCTATGTTCGCGCTTCGTGTCTTTTGACAGATGCCGGCAAGCGTTCGAATCAAGGTCTTCGAGCACAGTACCCTGTGAGAGCTTTGCACTCTCTAGGCTCGACATGGACTGCAGGCACATGGATCTCCCCTGGTGCAGTGTTGTCGTGATATACATGCTTCCTGGAACATGGCTCCCCTGTAGCCGAGAGACGCAAATCTACCCCTGTAGTCTATGGACAGCAACTACGTACAGATATTATGGCCGTGGGGATCTTGTAACGGGCTTGAAGCTGCATACGATTTGCAAGCTTTTACTTGCACCTCAGCTGTTGTGTTTAACAATATGCTAAGCTTCCAGCACTTCGTGGCCTTCCAAACTCCGAGCCCCAGAGATGCTCAGACAGCCCTTCCTCCCTCTTCCTACCCGCGAGACCGTCGAGACCTTGACAATTAAGCAAACCAGGAATCTGACTGCAGCAAGCGCTGCCAAACTTGACTCGACAGCTCCTCGTAACATTGCCCTCTGACTGTTAGTGTAAGTGTAACTATCTCAACAGGAATAGAGTGCCGAGACACCCTTCACCAGCGTCGCCGACGGGGGCGGTTCGGGCAACTATCTCGAGTGTCCAGTCGGGTCCCAGAGTGAGCATGTCAATGATGAACCACCTAAGCTTTCCCAAATCCGATGACAAGTCGGCGCATCCAGGACAAATTCGACAAGATCTTCTGTACTGTTTTAGTTTTAGGATGTTTTAAGTCACTTCTCGGCAAGGCGTGACTTGCTCTTTCTTCCTGCCTGCACGTACCAGGCAGGGATGTGCGCTGTACATGCAGGCTGCGGGGGGGGCCGCAGACCTTATGTTCATGAATAACGCTCCGATCACCGCCAAATCTAGAAAACTTAGCACTGCCGTGTTGAGAGGAGGCGATCCTTGTTGTTGGAATGAGTTGGGTTTATGTCCATGCCTGTTGCAACAGGCGAAGAGTAGTTTCACTCTGGTCACGCTTCCCTTTTTCAGGATCTCCTCTCGCCACTTACACTTGAGTTGGAACATCTATCACGGGTGCTGCGGCTTGCTTTCTTCCTGCATGAGGGAGGAGGGGCCAGGCTCCCCGGAAAACGGAAGCCCTCCAAACACTTCCAATCTCCGCGCAGCTGAGTTGCGTTCGGAGATAATTCTTTAGAATCTCCTTGGGAGACAACACCTCCAAACCTTCCTTCACAAAGCCCGTGGTCAGGGTGGCACCTCGCAGAGTCACGCGTGCTCCACAGATAGGACCCCCACATACCCCCATGCGACCGACATAACATGTGTGCCGGAGTCGAGTGCTAAATGCAGTCCGGCTTCCAATGTTCAAGGTCCAAAAAATCAGCGTGAGCCTTGGCAAGAACATCCATGGCCTGTCAATAAAGAACCTTTCAGGATCCACTTTCCAGCTGAGACAGTAGCCAGTCCATAAACATCGTGAATGTTGTCACTGGTGGGTCGAACACATTGATAGGAATGGCCTGAAGTTTTGAAGACTGGCAAGCAAGTTTGGCAAAGTGTCCAGAGATTTCCAGAGTATTCCCTGAACGTGTTGATTCTCCTGAGCACTGGACAATGCAGTCGTAAACGATAAACAGCAAGCCACCTTGGAAAAATCAAGCACAAGAAAGGGACTTTCGGCTCTACAGAACTTAGATAAGGTATCTGTCCACACCCGTCCATGCATTCTACAGTACCAAGGCCCATACTCTCCCGTCCACTCCTGCGCCTTCCGCCTCCACCTGGCCTGGGACCGAGTCTTCTGCCTTTCGGCTCAGTTCTCGTCCCCTGCTCCCTCGGAAAGCCCAAGAACAGGCCCGAGCTCAGGGCTGCCGAAGATTTACAGCCTGCTGTCCCGAACCGGACCAAAGCGTACTTGGAGGGACAGCCCTTTGCAGGATAGGCTGAATTGCTTCAGTACTTTGCTGACTCTTTCCTCATCTCCTGGCCGTAGTAAAGATGACCTTCGATCTCGGCTTCTCAGTGCAGCTGTGATGTGCTTTTTTCTGGCCATTGAAACGGGATCGAATCCTCTTGCTGTACTATGATGTCTCTTGACAAGGATGGCAATGGCCAAGAAAGACTGGCCATGCTGTTTGGCCTGCCCGTCGTCACGGCGTGTGCTGCAGCGGACAGGCATTGCGCACACATCTTTTGTTGGGCCGGGTTAGAGTTGGGGGCTGTGGTTCCAGTAGTTTCTTCAATCCTTCCTGTGTATACACATATAGTGCAGGATGTGCAGCTTACTTCGTGACTGAGTGCCCAACAATTGCGGTAGGTGGCCTTTACTGGCTCCCTTCCTGTATATAACTTGTCCAACTTGTCTCGACGTTGGATCAAACACATGGTTCATCGAATCAGCGACGTTGCGTGATGTGACTCTTTAAGGAGTTGCGCGCCGTTCGTTCGTGACTGACTGTCAGCGTTCCTGTCTGACTACACAATCAGCTGCCTCGATTAACTTCGCGCACACCAGGTTAGTGACACACGGGTTCAGTCTCACGGGTGAATCTATGCAGGGCTCAGGCTCACTCATCTCTGGACTTGTCTCTGCAGAACTTGCTAACACGAATTCCTAACTGCAGCTGGAGAGCAGCAGTCCCAAAGAAGTCGCTTGCGGTCACCAGGACGGGCAATGAAACGAGACACCCAGCCCTGATAGAGCTCTGCCATGCCTATGGCCTCACACCAGAGGAGGTACACCGTATCTGGACGCAGCTACAAAGAAACGACCTTGATTAGCGGATGCAATTAGGCTAATTAGGTAGTTTTGAAGCTCGAGGCCCCTGAGGCCAGCACCGCAGCATTGACCGCTACCGTTGGGCGCAAGCGGAGTGCCGTCGATGTTGTGGACGGCGGAGGAACAAAAGCCACTTGGGGAGTTCTTGTCTTGCCGAGCACTTCCTGAATTGTGCGGCAGCGTAGAGTGAAGAAATACAGCACTTAACGTACTTGAAGACAGAAACCAGAAATCGAACAGGAGGTGCTGACCAGCCGAAGCAGCAGTAGTCCAAAGGCTTTTCAACTTGAATCCCGCAAAAGACACGCTCCGATGGAAACCGGTGTCTGCGAGCTCGTCGGAATTGGAGGCCCGTCGTCGAGCCTCATACTCTAGGGGGCTGATCTCCTCCAACACTTCCACATCCACCAACGGATCAAACCTGGCAAAGGTCATTTAGTGCTCATGGTAGTAGCACGCAAACGAAGGAAACACTGCTCCTGACCCTAGTTCCTGACGAAGAAACCGAGACAAAGTACTCTCGCATCACTGGTGCACCAAGATCCGGTACAAAGGTGTGCGCAGGAAATCTTTCCAGTTTGGCCAAGACTGCGAGCCGCTCTGTGCACCCACAAGCTCTGCGACAACCGCAACCGCTGGCGAGATGTACGTACGTACATAACCCTTCACGCGATAGTGGAAATCTGACGTGCGCGTGTGAACGTCTGCATAGCCTAGTCCTTGCATTCTTGGGGAAATCGGCACCGCCTACAGAAGATGCGAGCCTCATGTCCACACATGGATTACTCATGGTAATGGTAACTACTGTTCGGCTTTGCTGATGGTGCACATTGTGCCAATGCCAGAAGGGCTGCTGGCAAACAGCTCGGACTTTCAACGTTCCACGTCAGGCGTGCTTGTCCGGTTGTACTTTCTTCCAGTGCTTTCGAAAAGAATGCTTCTAGTTCGTGCATTCAGGAAAGAAGCCCGTCTTGTCGGTTGGGGAAACTTCCACATCATCTTCAAACATCTTCAAACCAGGAAGCGTCGGATCGTCTTCGCAGTCAGGCTTGTCAGGCTCTTCCGCGATGAAGCTGGCTATCTTTGATGTTGGCTTGGGCGAGTTACTATCCTGAATGGACGAAGGTGGGGCAGACGAAGTCCATGTGTTGGTCATCGTCGTACCTTGCACATTCTCTCTGAACAACTGCATTTGGAAATCGCAGCCGCGTGTTGCCACCGCGCTGCTGCCGTCTGAATCGCAAGTTCTTCGCATGAGCTTTCGATTTTCAGCTGTGAGCTTGGCAACCGTCGCACGGAGCTCCTGCACACAGCTGTGCCCCAAGGCCAGACGAGCAGCCAGCGTAGATCCCCAAACAGTGCAAGTGCATGACGACGACCACGAAGCCAGCGACCACCCAGAAAAAGCAAGACTGCCTCTACGACCAGGCGACCACGACAACCAAGAAACCACTAAGACTCCACTAAGAGACCATGAAGAAATCAAACGAACATGGAAGAAAGTGACAACAACGTAGCAGGCTCTGACAACATGCTGACCACCGGGATCCACCAGGAGACCCACAGGAAGACCCGTTCAGACCACCGGAGACCACCAAAATGCTTTCTTCTAAGTACTGGCCGATCTGACCACGGACAGAAGGCTGTTCCCCAGATGCTGGAACGTTTCAGCAGCACGGCGCTTCTGCTTCCTGGACATTTTTCACAAGGGACTCGACTGCTTCCCTTATTGCCTCATATACTGGCGGGATTCAAGATGATACCTAAACTACTTTCCTCCAGTTGCTGCTGCCACTCCAATTTTTCCCAGGCCAAAAGGTGGGCCACATATTGTAAATCTACATTAATCTACATTCTACAGTTAACCCAGCTCTCCGGGAGACGGTTTTGCGTGGCGCATCGCACGGATCGTTAAACAATACAGTGGGACTAGAGAACACGATTTTCACCGCGCCACAGTGGGAGATGCCTTTGCGGAACGCTCTTGCGCTCTAGTGATACAACGTTACTGCGCTGTTTGGGGACAAAGCCCTGAGTGCTCGAGCACTTACGACACGGCTCTCTGGCAGAACGAACCCCGCTGTCCTGCACTTCTAGGTCATATCTGTGGCTGAAGCCCTGCAGCGCGTCCACGATGTCATGTAGGGATGTTAGTGAGCTTGCGCCCTTGCTGCCCTTGGATTCGTCAGATTCGAGTGGAGTTTGACACTGAGAGGGAAGAAACGACATTGCCGCCACAAAGCTGTTCGTGGCTTTCCTGTAGCCTCGTTGCTGTCGGATCTCCCGCGTTGAGCGACATCCATGAATAACCTGTCACGGTGTCTTCAGGGCAACAGGTGCCGCTAGCAAATGTTGAAGTGACATGAGTACAGCCTCACGCGAAACCTCCAGCAAAGTGCTCAATAAACGCTTTCAAGCTGACTTGCCGCAGTAAGTCAGCCGATCGAGAGAATACAGTGAAAGCATGGCTGCCTTCGCGGATGGCTGACCAGATGTACTCACGGACTTGTGCTCCCGTGGTTGGGTCTAGCAAACGCTTCGGAAACAGCAGCACCAACTGCAATCAGAGCATGCGTCCAGCCTACGATAACCGGGACACTGCAATTTACGGGACCTGTTTGAACGATCGTGCTTCATGACCCTAAACTCTTATCGGCCGTTGCTCGACGGCAGGGTAACAGTCTCCATTCGTCTTTTTACCCAGGGTTCTGTCAGCATGCGGGTCTCCTCGCGCAAATCCCGGAGCTGACGCAGCAATCTCACTAGAACATCTTTGGAGCTGTCGGAGACCGAAACCATGGTTTCCGCATCCGGTTGTTGAGGCTCCAGGGCGCTTGCCATAAAGTCCTTCTGCAGAGCGTTCGGTGCAGTCTGCAGAAGATCGGAGGCTGCCGCCATGGACGCCATGCCTGCAGTGGATGCTGCTGTGTCTGCAGGCGGCCCCAGAGTCTGAGATCTTCTCGCGGCGACGATTGCTCTGCTCTCAAGCTCGCGGAGTTCCGCACGCTCTGCACCTTGGCTTGGTCCGCCCTCCTCTGGGAAACGCCAAGCATTCTGCGGCATGAAGCTCGTTTGCCAACTTGTCTGTTGGGCTGGTGCACGCAGCCATCCCAGCCCCACACATGGGCCCTCACCTTGCATGGAGGGCCCATAGGGCGCCAGCGCTCCTGGCCTTCCAGAGACGTGACCTTCGTTGGAAGTCAGATTCCCAGCCAAGGCTTCTTGCAGCTCACAATGGAAAGTTTCATCGCTTGACACCACGGGATGGGCCATGACGGCGCATGGCAGCTGTGTGTGCAACTCGGGTCTTCGTCTTTGCCTTTTGTGTGCATTACCGATATGATGTGCGTGTGAAACAGTGAAACCATGCGACAGAACTTCGTTCTTGATTAGAGATGTGATGGCGGCACACACTGTTCAGCTGATTGGCATGCAGCATCGAGGCAGGAACGTAGTCAGCATTTCTGCATCTCTGCCCTGATGTGTCCGGTCGGTCCGGTCCTGTGTCTGGCCGGCTTGGCCGAGCTCAGAAACAGGGGAAGTCTTTCATCATGGCGCTCTGCGAGCCTGTGCTGGCACAGCAGCGAATCTGAGAAGAAAAACTCAGAACATCCTGCCATGGCCAGTGCCACTTCTACTGGTTGCTAGTTACTAAAGATTATTCTCCAAAAAATGAATCGGATCTCGGACAAGAAGATCCTGCAGGTGCACGGGCCAGGTCTCTTGAAAGACTCACCCGCTTGGCTTTCACTGAAACGGCTAGAAAGAAAACTATTGGTGTGGAAGTCTTTGCACGAGCCTTCACTGGACCTTCTTGCGCTGCAAAGCTTAAGGCTGAAGCCCAACCAAGCCCTCCACGACTTGCATCACCAGCTCATGTGCTTCCGCACTGTTGCGTCTTGTGCTGCTCGTGCTATCCTGGAGGCAAGCGGTGAATATTTTGACCTAAGGGCGCTAGCAATGAGGCAACCAACCAGCCTGCAGTTCATGAATGGCCGAGTGTTCAGACGGCTCCAGAGAGTCGTCGTAATACTCTGGCGAGGACCGAAGGGAGGCTGCGACCGTGTCAGCACTACTTGGGCAAGTCTCCGTTTCGACAGCCAAATCGATCTGCCTGGAAGCGTCTTCCACTGTTCAACATCTTGACTGACGTCCCAGCAACTCTTTTCAATCTCTTCCAAGAAGCAGTGCAACCAGGGCACACTTCAATCTGGATGGTTGGAGCATCATCGGCCGAATTACTATTTTCTTGCTGTGCTGCGAGAGGACCCCTGAAGCGGACCACGACTGGGCAAGCTGATTGCTCTTTCGCAATCGTCTCGTAAACCTGCCGTCTGACAAGGTGGATCAACTTCGTGTGCGGCTCTTCCTGAGATTGCCTGGACGTGTAGGCGGGATAGTACGCAGGCGCCACTTACAAAACGACCGCCCAGGCCTGAAATCGGAGTCACTTAGGTCCACGTCCAGAACTGCCTCACTCAGGGTGGATCGAATGCAATCTCGACCGAAAGACTGATTGCCACAACTCACAACTTCGATGGGAAAAGGGCCTTGGGCGACTCGCAGCCAGAGTTGTTTACTGGCTTCTCGCTTGGCTTCAGCGCAGGCCGACCGTAGGCAATGGCCGATCGCTTCAATTGCCTGGCATAGGAATGAACCCCCGACGGGGACGAAGGTCCGCCGAACCGTACAATCTCCTCGTTGTTCTCCAGGATTTTGCAGATGCTTGGTTTGGAGCTCAACCGGCTGAGACTGATTGCCAAAGTCTGCAGGCTGCTGACCACGGCGAAACCTTGCTGCGAGTCCCGCCACCCGGTGGTGGGGGCATCGACGGCTTTCCTGCGTGGGCTACCAGGCTGAAGTCGGTCTGTGTACGCAGCCGTCGCCCGTTTCCGGCCAGGTGTCAAGGGTGGTAGCCTCAGATTCTGTGAGCAGCAAGTTCGCAGTAAAATGAGGACCAAACCCACTGCTAAGCAAGCTGCTCGTCACATCTGAGGGCACCGGCCTTGCGCGGCGATTTGTGAGGATAGGCTTCTCGAACTCCGTGCATGTGGGATGCAGCCAGAATTGCTTCGGATGGCAAGACTCCCTTGAATGCACCCTGCATCCTTGCATTCATCGATGTGGGTGTCCTGAAGGGGTCAGTTCAAACAGCGCCCAGGACATTTCCTACGCGGCCCAGGCCGGCCTGTAAAGACCCGTATCCACTGGTGGCAGTCTCGGGGATGGCATCTGACCAAGCCAACTTCTGCCCAAGCGCTGACGCAAATTCTTGGGAGTTGGAGTCGTCGCTTGGTCGCCTCTCCGTGAGCAGAGTGTGGCAGATGTCGGCAGCCTTTAGTCACGATAGTCTAAGCCCAAGTGCTCAAAGCAGCCTAGGTCGGCCTAGATCACCGCATACTTTCGCTTGCTCGATCTCGAGCAGATGCATTTCACATTCAGCCAGCTAGAGGACCACTGAGTGCGGACAGACGAACTAAACTATTGAACTTTGTCCCGCCCGCAGACGTACAGTAGAGCCTTGTAGTTCTGGAATCCTGTGGAGTGCCGCCATGGCTGCCGGTGTCTGGTCTTTGTGGACTGCCTCGGGTGCAGGTTGTTGTAGTTCTGAGGTAGGGATCTGCGGTCCATTCGGTATAACAAACTGCCCATGAGCTCCCTTGGATCATGAACTGGCAGGGTCAACATCGTAAAACCATAAATGAATGACAAGTCTATGTCTATGCCAGTCTATGCTCTTCGGGGAGCCATGGGAGCCGCAGGTACTTTGATCGAGTGCGGTGGCCCACATGCCATTTCTTCGTCGCTGGTGCTGTAGTCGGAGTCGTACTCATGGCACACTGGCAGCTGCTTGAGTTGTTTCGATGGGTGCTTTCGAGCGAACAGCCTTTCTGTGTGCGCTCGCCGCCCCACGTTCCATGTCGACTTCAGGGGCATCCCACACCTTGCCACGACCTGATCACGACGGTAGAAAACATGTCCAGCATCCTAGGCAGTTTGCCCTTGATTGCCATCTTCTTACCGTTGTGAGGCGGATTCTTTGAATTCCATCGCTCGTGAATCAAGCAGACGCTTTTCAAAAGTGCGATCTTGGGAAATCTTGGTCTACAGCATCCCGCTCGGCCCACAAAGGACTCACTAGAAGCAATCTCACATGTCCCTACATCCAGTTGCCAATTGTACCAAGCCACCCATTTGCCGGCTGCAGTTCCCCTTGCACACTGCCCATCAAATAATCATTGCGGCATCAGTTGTCTTCTTGAGCAAGGCAACGAGACAAATCGATCAATGCAAGATCGGGCCGTCGGTTCCACATGTAGACAGTGATGCAAACGCCATGACAGCACATCCCCAGAAGTATTATATCAAGAAAATCATGCGGAAGAAACTACTCAGAATGACCGTGGTGCTGCATGCTGAGCAGCTGCCGAACCCCGGCTGCAACAATGAAAAGATTTTGCGCTTTTGCAGTTGGCGTCATGCGACAATCTTACGATTGTCTCTCACATCATGCGCACACGCTCTCAGAGGTGCACGCCATAGTGGTGAGGCCTCGCATGGAGACTGCAGCGGTTTGTGCCTGTGCTAGTACTTTGCGCGCATCGTCGCCACAATACTTTCAGGAAGAAGCCGTCTGTACTGGAGCGCTTCGCTGCGCTCTGTCCCGGTGATACCCTGCGATGCGAGTCTGCAAGCATCGTACGAGTACTTCTGGTCGCTGGGTGTGGCAATCAAACACCCGGAGCGCACCATGCGAGATGCGCTCTTCCAGAGCTGGTCCTCGCAGAAGCGTGACCTTGGATTATGCTTCCAGCGAGCGCATCTACTGGCTGCTCAGCAGTCGCAGGCTCCACCTTGGGCCTGGGCTGTGGTGGCTTGCTAGCCGCATTGAAATTGTGAGCGCTGACATAGGTCACCGACTTGCTGCTCGCCTTAACCATGGAGACCAAACGGCAGCAAGTGCAGTGCCCAGAGTTCAGAGTCCAGCCGAAGGCGCACGCGGAAAATTAGCATCAAAGGTCCCGGCCGCAGCTAGGGACTTGATGGTGCCTTCATGTCGCCATGGTGCCTTTGTCAGTGATCCGCTCCTGAATGGCGTGAGGAAAGTTCAATGTGCTTGTGTGGTTTGTGCGTGATGTATGGGCCAACTCTGAGAATTTGACATGCAGGATCGCTTGGCACCAGTACCGGCTTCCGGGTCCCGCTTTATGTGCGCCCCAGTGAAGACCTCACGAAGAAAGGCCAGCTAGACAATGGAAGTGTCAAGAACCTTCGAGATGTTGATACCCTCTCGGTTCCTGGATAGTCCGCAAGGCATATTGCGCTGGCAGGCGTAACCTGTGCCGGGCCCCATGCATCGAGAGGAGCCGTGTCATCGTTTTCCCGCAAGCGGGCATGCCACTCCTGCTCAAAATGGACTGCGATCTATTGCGATTGTCCCTCTACCACTATCTACCACTTACAGTAGCCATTGCTGGCAAAGATGTTTGGATGCTGTCCAGGTCAGGGCGACCCAGCTCATGGAAAGGCTCCATGGTTCGCATGCTTTCCGGAAGCCGGCCCTCAGCGCTTGGCTTTAGCAAGGCTTGGAGACACGCCAACTTTTTCTGTCTTCCTCAGAGCTGGGCATCTACGCGGCCTCGCATAGGATACCTCCCAAGTTGCACAGAAAAGCAAAATTGTTCTAGATCCTCAGCTACGGAAACTTTCGCTCAAGCTGAGATGCTGGCGATGGAGCATCCTTCAGAACCCGTTCACTTCGGTCCAGATCGGTCACCTGTTAAAGAACAATGAAGACGCGATCGTCAGCAGGCCGCAGAAAGTCAGAAGCTCGCTTGCGCACATGCAAAATGTGGTTGCAGTATCCGCCGACCCCGCTGTAGGGTCGAGCGCGGGGGAGGCTATCCCCCTCCTTCGGACGCCTGCCTACTTGCGAAGATTCCCAACCCCACTCTGGCTCCCCCCCCGCCCCTCTCCCGACCTCCCTCACCCTCCCCCCCCTGCCACCCCCCCTCTTCCTCCTGACCCCTGCCCCTACCCCGCCCCACCCAAAAAACTTCGTTTTTTCTTCTAATCGCTTCCCACGATTATTAACCCCCCCC